AACCGGGGTGTATCACTCGTTCTTACCAAAGGTATCTTCGGTTCATCTTTGCCGTCGTGGTTCACGTAAGCCACTATGGGCTACCCTTTGACCCATGGAAAGCAAGGTTCAGTTGGCGAAAAATACCTTTCCCCTTTTTTGACAGAAAGTTCTTCTAACTTTCTTTTCTTTTAGTAGAAAGTTCTTCTAACTTTCTTATTTCCCTTTGCTTTTTGAATTCGTCATAGATTATTTGAGTGTAATCTTAGAATGAGAGGTACCCTGCGGCGTTTAGAATAAGTTAAGCGTATGCGTAGGATCCTATGCAATTAGTATTAAGTTAATGTATGTGTGTGTGTGTGTGTGATACAAGTTCTTTGCTGGATTTTGGTAAAGAACTTGTATATGCGAGCCTATGAGCTGAGTAGAGTCAGAATTCATTTATCCTTCTGATAAATGAAGTTGCATTTGGAGGGTGGTAGGGATTTGGAGTTAGGGTGGGTCACTGTCGTAGCAACCTCCACGTGGTGTGACCTGGTAATCGATATCGTTTTCTAAACATTTTTACAAAAAATTTTAGAGAACGATATCGAGCTAATAGCTACGAATTAAATTATAATTTGTTTCACATTTTCTTTTACGAAAATGTTTGGATCAAGTGAACATGTATGACAAGTTCCACACTTATCCAAATCTAGATTTACAATTGTTATAATAAAATGAAAACTTTGTAGAACTAGATGACAGCAGATAAGAAACCACAGAGTAAACTAGAGACAACCTAACATTCCTACCAAGTAAAAAAATATCTCATTCATACTAGCTTCATACACTTAGCACTCTTACCAACCCATTTTGTTGTAAAAATAACATCACAGTATAAACGGTTTAAAGTAAAACAACAATAAAACAGTGAGTATAAACAAATAACTTAGAACATATTAAGAAGATTATAATATTAACCTTTCGGTAATCTGCCATCGGCTGACATTCTTACAAGAGCCACTTCCGCCGGCGTTCCAACAAAAGCACCAGTAGCCCCTGCTGTACCGGCCATGAGTGCTAATATGCCAAAACCGGGAGGCTCAGGAAATCGGATCCTAGTAATAATCACATCATCACATTAAATTATGGCATGTAAAGATTTATGTAATAGGTGACGTTTGAATAGGTATACAGGGTTTTCCTAAAGTCCAACACCATAGTCGAGTACCGAAAGTGTCTTTTCTCCCGTCAAAATTTATTTTACACACATGTAATTAGATAAAGGATCGAGAAAATTGTGAGGACGTTTCCCAACTTTCTTTACAGCCGCGTGTCAGATCTTTAATTCGAAATTGAACGGGTACGCGCTCCCACGTGAATTATTATCTCCTCGTTGCTTGCTCGCGACAACATTTTCCTTTCCTTATGCGCCGAGTACAGGATCTCTCTAAAGTCCAACCCCATCCTTACATTACGGAAACGGCGTTAAATATGAAAAAATGTTTCAGACAAAAGTTGTAGATATCAAGGTTAAGATGGTGGCAACAATTTGACCTTGGTCGTTTGAAGGTCACGTCTTCAGTTTCTTAAATAGAACCCCATTTATTGCATATTGTAGCCTCGACGTTTTCAAACCACTACCTATGTTTTTTGTGCGAGTCATTCCCAACATACGGAGCTTCAAAGTTGACGTATCGTCAGCATTCGCATTACCCAAGGTGCACCGCGCGAGGGTTGCACGATCAGATTTACGCCACTTATGTGACAACTTTGAAGCTTCGTATCTTGGGAATGACTCCCACAAAAAACAAACATAGTGTTTTGAAAACGTCGCTACAATATGCAATAAATGGGGTTCTATTTAAGAAACTGAAGACGTGACCTTCAAACCAAGGTCAAATTTTCGCCATCTTAACCCTTGATATCTACAACTTTTCTGAAACATTTTCCCATGTTTGAAGCTGTTATATGGGGTTTAGATCCTGTAGATATCTTATAGGTATTAATAGAAACTCTTTGTGAAATCTACTGAAATATTTGAACTATTGTAGAAATCTGTAAGGTGAATGTATGTAGATTTTGATAGACTCGATTTATAAAATAGATTTTAATAGTGTTTTATATATCTTTTATAGACGATATGTGCAATTTTCCAGGGACTTTAATCCTTAACTTCATAGAGAGACGTTTAAGACCCCAGCTACTAAAAATGAATTTTACAAATAAAATACTCGTTATTTTAATTTGAGAATTAAATTAAAAAAATTAAATTAATCTTTGGAAGTTTTTAATCGATTTCACAGTTGATGTAAATTTAAACAGTGAATATGAAAAATAATCAGAAACTTGAAGAAATTAAAAAATGGTCTGCACAGAAAAATTAAAAATTTATTTCTATTTTAATGTAAAAAGCTGAAATTTTACTTAAATAGCCGTGAGATATAAGTTTGAGAAGAAAAATAATGAAAATATCGTGGTTTCAAAAAAGATATTCTAATTTTCAGAATATAATGACTAAAATTAAAGCTGTGGTCATTTCATATTAATGTAACATGTGTGAGTTAAGGGTTAATGTAAAATATGTTTCTGGTTTTTAAAAATATTACTCACTTCCAGTGGTCTTGCAGAGTGTTAAAAATACCAAGCCTGACAGTGGTGTACGTGGCTTGTCGTACGAGGCCGGCAGTTAAACCAGAATAAAATGCCAAAATTCCCTCGTTTCGATATATATTACTGACAACGTTTATGATCGAGGTCTTCTCATGTTGCACTTGAATTCGATTTTTGATCACATCCATGGGATGGACAAAACAAGTTGCAGCCATACTGAAACAAATTGAGAGAAATGTGGACTTATATTGTATGAAATTTCGAATGTTTTCGATTTTCACAATTAAAAGTCGCAGCATCAAGGGTTAATAATTTAGTTTTAGTGTACAGTAATGTCTGATTTCGAATATTCTTATAATTTATAAATTTGAAAATTAAAATTTGAAATGTAGAGACTAAATTAATGTTGAAGACTGAATTTATCAGCGAGAATAATTTAGAATTTAGATACCCGCAGAATCCAGCATTAATAAATGTGAATAAAGGAGGCAATGGCGCTGGCTTTTTCTTTTCGCCATCGTCAGATCCTTGAGACATTTTTGATGTGTGTAAGAGTTTCCAAAATAAACGGTATCAAAGAGTTCCTTTTGGGGTGAAATCTGTGAAGATGTAATATAATATAATACAATATAATTTGTATTAAGAAAATGGTAGACAGGAAATTATATATCAAAAGAGGGTATATTTAATGTGTGGGAAGGAAATTTTATTTGAGGATAGAAAGAAGAAGATTGAAATTTTGAGAAATTAGGATTATATTTTTGAAGTTGGGAAATTTGGAAGTTGGTGGTTATAGAATTGCAGTATTTTGTGATTGGGAGTTTTGGGAAATGGGAAGATATGGAGTTGCGAGTTTTGAGAATTGAGAAATTTGAAAATATATGAATTTCAGAAATTGAGAGTTTGAGAATTTGAGTATTTGAGAATTTGGAGATTTGAAAATTTCTTAATTTGGGAATCTTATAATTTTGTGATTTGGAGTTTTGGGAAATGGGAAGATTTGGAGTTGCGAGTTCTGAGAATTGAGAAATTTGAAAATATATGAATTTCAGAAATTGAGAGTTTGAGAATTCGAAGATTTGAAGATTTGAAAATTTCTTAATTTGGGAATCTTATAATTTTGTGATTTGGAGTTTTGGGAAATGGGAAGATTTGGAGTTGCGAGTTCTGAGAATTGAGAAATTTGAAAATATATGAATTTCAGAAATTGAGAGTTTGAGAATTTGAGTATTTGAGAATTTGGAGATTTGAAAATTTCTTAATTTGGGAATCTTATAATTTTGTGATTTGGAGTTTTGGGAAATGGGAAGATATGGAGTTGCGAGTTTTGAGAATTGAGAAATTTGAAAATATATGAATTTCAAAAATTGAGAGTTTGAGAATTTGAGAATTCGAGAATTTGAAGATTTGAAAATTGCTTAATTTGGGAATTTTATAATTAAGCATTTTGAGAATTTGAGAAGTATTGAACTTGCAGTTTTGAGAATTGTGGAATTTTGCAATTTGGGGTTCTAAGAATAAAGGAAATTTGGGATTTGAAATTTGAAGTTTTGAAATTTGGAAAATTGCAAATCTAGTCATTTTAGAATTTGGAAATTCGGAGATTTAGGAAATTGAAATTTGAGAGATTCAATATTCTAAGAATTTAAGTGTTGTAAAAATATCAAGCTTTTAAATTTCTTTCAAAAATTTCAAATTAAAAAAGTTTCATATCATCAATTTTCATATTTCTCCAACGATTTTGAATCTGACTAAAATTGCTAAATTTGTATACTAAATGTAGTACTGGCATATAAAAATATAGAAGCTTATAAAACGAAACAACAAAATTGCTCACCGTTTTTGTCAAAAGTATTACAAAAATATTACATGCATATAACCTATATTTTGAATATTTTCAGTTCTCATGAATCTTCAGAGAATTAACTCCAGGATTCATAATATTAAAATCCTTCGTTTTCCTACAAACCTTCTTCGTAAATTCCTATAAAAATATAAAATTAACATAACAATGTTTTCTTTAGGTTAAAACTGTACAAACATTGTTCTCCTGACGCATGTCAAGATAATTTAAATAAAATGAAGAAAGTCAATAATTCTCTTTTCATTTGTTATTATTTTATTTATTTGTTCCAATATTACAGGTGTGTCTTTCTCATGATTAATTATGTTGTTCTAATAAAGTTTTGAATAAAATATACTATCAAACGTAACGCGCTATAAAATTGCAAAAACATTGTTTATGAAAATTGTTTTCTATTTTAGAAGAATTAACCCTTAACTCACACATGTTACATTAATATGAAATGACCACAGCTTTAATTTTAGTCATTATATTCTGAAAAGTAGAATATCATTTTTGAAACCACGATATTTTCATTACTTTTCTTCTCAAACTTATATCTCATGGCTATTTAAGTAAAATTTCAGCTTTTACATTAAAATAGAAATAAATTTTTAATTTTTCTGTGCAGATCATTTTTTAATTTCTTTACGTTTCTGATTATTTTTCATATTCACTGTTTAAATTTACATCAACTGTGAAATCGATTAAAAACTTCCAAAGATTAATTTAATTTTTTTAATTTAATTCTCAAATTAAAATAACGAGTATTTTATTTGTAAAATTCATTTTTAGTAGCTGGGGTCTTAAACGTCTCTCTATGAAGTTAAGGATTAAAGTCCCTGGAAAATTGCACATATCGTCTATAAAAGATATATAAAACACTATTAAAATCTATTTTATAAATCGAGTCTATCAAAATCTACATACATTCACCTTACAGATTTCTACAATAGTTCAAATATTTCAGTAGATTTCACAAAGAGTTTCTATTAATACCTATAAGATATCTACAGGATCTAAACCCCATATAACAGCTTCAAACATGGGAAAATGTTTCAGAAAAGTTGTAGATATCAAGGGTTAAGATGGCGAAAATTTGACCTTGGTTTGAAGGTCGCGTCTTCAGTTTCTTAAATAGAACCCCATTTATTGCACATTGTAGCGACGTTTTCAAAACGCTATGTTTGTTTTTTGTGGGAGTCATTCCCAAGATACGAAGCTTCAAAGTTGTCACATAAGTGGCGTAAATCTGATCGTGCAACCCTCGCGCGGTGCACCTTGGGTAATGTGAATGCCGACGATACGTCAACTTTGAAGCTCCGTATCTTGGGAATGACTCGCACAAAAAACATAGGTAGTGTTTTGAAAACGTCGAGGCTACAATATGCAATAAATGGGGTTCTATTTAAGAAACTGAAGACGTGACCTTCAAACGACCTAGGTCAAATTGTTGCCACCATCTTAACCTTGATATCTACAACTTTTGTCTGAAACACTTTTCCATATTTAACGCCGTTTCCGTAATGTAAGGGTGGGGTTGGACTTTAGAGAGATCCTGTATGTTTTATAGTATAGCGCTGTTAATTCTATTTCAGCAAAGTATGTAGTTAATAATTGTTGTGTATGAATTTCTTATTCCTTCCATATTTCACTATTTATTTCACTCCACTTCTTAATTCAGATAACAAATTTTATCCTCGGGAACAAATTTCGTGCAGACACGTGGAATTCTTCTTTTTTTACGTTTGGCTTCGGCTATTGTTGCTTCTCTCTTTTTCAGAGGCAGTAGCCCCATTTCTCTCTTGCAGTCCTAAAAGGGTCACAATACTCGTTAAATATGCAATTGAAATATTTTTGTAATATTTGAAGTTAAGATTTTTTAACTAGTTTTGCATACATCCACAGCTTTGAGGATTGGAAGCAGGGGTCTAACATCTTTCGATTCGTTCAGGACCTCTTCAGCGTAATCGAGGACTTTCTTATTTTCTTTGTTAATTATTTCGGTCATGTCCATAGCTTTGTCTTCAGCAAGCTTTTCTTGTTCTCGTGTAACCTCCCTTTCACTCTGTAAATGCAATATTCGTTTGGTAATATAACTTGAGAGTAATGGCCTGAGAATTAGGAAATTTGTAAATTTAAGAAATTAGGAATTTTTAAGTTTGGAAATTTGAGGATGCTTGAATTTGGAAATAATTTGTGGTCTTGGAAACGTTGCAATTTGTACATTTAACATTCAACAAAAATAATTATTAACTAGATCTCCATACTCTCATTATAAAAATATAATTACTATCTGCAATAAAAATACATGTACCGTTATTATTAGAATAGAATCTATATGTGTTCTTCAATTCGTCGAAAGATGCACATTTTTATATTATTTCTTTTGGTTTAAATTAACATCCTGTACTTTACTTTATAGTGTTATTATATAATTTTACGTTATAACATTTCTATGACAATATATTTATCAGGAAAATATAATAACAAGGTAAATATCTATCAATTGTGTGAAGATGTTATCATACTTCCACGATAATATGTTTGTCATAAAAATACAATAAAACTGTCCATATATTATATTAATTTCAATATATTATAGTATATTAATATAATATTAATGCATTAACTTACGATATATTTCTTCAGTGACTTAGCGTACTCCATTTTCTTGTCCCTCGCTCGCTTCCGTTCCTCCGCGTCCAATTCTTTGTCATATTCAGCCCTCTTGAATCTCTGCATCAATTCCCAGGTCTTCCAATCTTTCTCCTCTTGAAGAAACTTCGACTTGGCATTCTCTGTTTCTTTTTTAAAATCATGTATCTCCTTCTTTAATCGAAGCGCATGTTCTTTTCGATTCTTCTCCTTTTCTTGGAACTGTGCTTCTTGCTCTTCCACTGCTTTTTTGTAATTTCTTTCTTCAATGTCTCCTTTGCTTTGTGTGAGTGTGCGAAACTTTTCGGCTGGTGAAATAAATATCATCAGTTATTGTTTATATTATTTATATTATTTAGAGCAGTTAGATTATTTAGATTATTTAGATTATTTAGATTATTCAGATTATTTAGATTATTTAGATTATTCAGATTATTTAGATTATTTAGATTATTTAGATTATTCAGATTATTTAGGTTATTTAGGTTATTTATATTATTTATATTATTTATATTATTTATATTATTTATATCATTTAATGAAACTTTGTAAGACAAAGTTAGTAGACTCTCAAGTCAAGTGACTTCTTGTAATAAGCTACAAAATATAATTATAATAAAAGTTAATTAACCTGTGAAATCAGCTCTACGCTCCCTCTCTTTGTTCTCATTCAATTTTACTTCTTTATATGCTTTCGCAATTCGTGCTTTAGCTTGTTTATAAATCTCTATCGCTCGATCCTCGAACGCGTCTTCATGTTTGAGCTTCAAATTAAGTTGTTTCTTCTCTTCGATGGCGTCTTTGAAAAATTGATTCAGTTTCTGCTTCTTGGTTAACAGCTACAAACAAATTTATGTGTAAACATACATGTAATGTTGCATACAAACAATATTATTTAAAATATTACATGAAGCAATATTGTAGAAAGTATTATATAAAAACAATATTACATAAAATAGTACATTAAAACAATATTCTAGAAGGTGTTATATAAAAACAATATTACATAAATTATTGCATAAAAGCAATATTATAGAAAATATTAGACACAAACAATATTATATAAAAATATTACAAACAAGATTATATAAAATATTACAAACAAGATTATATAAAATATTACACACAAACAACATTAAATAAATTATTGAAATGAAAACAACATACATATATTTACACACACACAAATAAAAATGATAAAAACATTTATTACAAACATGCAAATAAATGCAAATAAAGAAACACAAAAGCAATATGTTATAGACATATTACACACATGAAACTCAAAATATATAAAATAATATAGAACTGTTATCTACAGATATCTTTAAAAGAAGAACACTTAGAAATAATAAAATAAATGATTCAGAACCAACTTTTTGCATTTCAAATTCTTTAGCATCGGACAAATATTTAGCCATATTTATTTGATCTTGTTTCTGAGCTTCGAATTCTTTCGTTTCTTCTTCTTTCGTTGCTTTTTCCACTTCTTCGATCCTGAAAATTACGAAATTATTTTACAAATTCGAAACTATTCTAAATTATTTTGTTTAGCATTAAATTAGTAGCTTTGGTATTAAATTAAATAAATTATTTTAAAAATTCTTTTCAAATTATTTTGTTTAAAAATTTTCTGTATTTCTTCATATTTTAATTTTGTAGAAGAAAAATTGAGAAATTATTGAAAATATAATAACGATATTTCAGTTGATTAAAAATCATTTGTTTCGTTTCAATGAATAATCTCACAGGAAGAAAATAATCTATAAAATTAATTTTAATTAATATTAAATAATAAAGAAAATAAATAATAATTTAACAATATCAAATTTACTGTTTCTTCAAAGCCACAGAATAATTCCTCTTCTTTTCCAACTGTTTCTCCGCTTTCTGCTTCATTTCTTCTTCATACTTTTCCATATCCGCCCTCAGCGCTTTCACGTACGCTATTTCAGCCTCTTTATCTGCATTTTTAATAATTTCCCGAAATTTTAGTTGAGCATCCAACTCCCTGAAGCACTAATACAATCATAATAAATCATTTTAACACATCGTTTAAGAAAAACAAAAATAAGAAACAAAAATTTGTATGCTTTTAGACATAGAGGACTGAGGAGAGTTGATACATTTCGAATGAGAAGAATATTATAAATAAAATTAAATATAATTATGATTCCTTTGTTCATTTTAATTATTAAATCAGATATACACTAATATTTTTTAGGAAATGAAGGATTCAATTTTTTTAAAGTTGAGCAAGAAGCATTTTAACATATGTTACATATGCTAAATAATTTTATATACTCCACATATGCAAAATATTTTTATATACTTCATATGTGAAGAATATGTATGTATCGACATATGTACAATAACATTTTTTTACATATTCTACATTTGCAAAATATTTTTATATATTCCACATATGCTATATTTATTAATATTACATATTAGACATATGGAAAATATTTTTACATGTTACACATATACAAAATGTTTGTACATATTCTACATATGCAAAACATTTGTATGTATATGTGAAAAGTATTTATACATATATGTTCTACATATGTAAAACAATTTTATGTACTTCACATATGAAAAGTATTTATATATGTTCTACATATGTAAAACAATTTTATGTACTTCACATATGAAAAGTATTTATGTATATTCTATATATGTAAAATATATTTATGTAATTCACATATGAAAAATGTATATACATAATCTACATATGAAAAGCACTTTTATGTACTGCACATATGAAGAGTATTTATATATGTTCTACATATGAGAAGCATTTTTGTGTACTTCACATATGAAGAGTATTTATATATGTTCTACATATGAGAAGCATTTTTATGTACTTCACATATGAAGAGTGTTTATATATATTCTACATATGAAAAGCACTTTTATGTACTGCACATATGAAGAGTATTTATATATGTTCTACATATGAGAAGCATTTTTATGTACTTCACATATGAAGAGTATTTATATATATTCTACATATGTAAAACAATTTTATGTACTTCACATATGAAAAATGTTTATACATATTCTACACATGCAAAACATTTTTACATATTCTACATATGAAAAACATTTTAATATACTTCACATATAAAAAATGTTTCCATGTATCTCACACGTGTAAAATATTTCTAAAATTGCATCTAAAATATCTCGATAAAATATTAGTACAAAAATACCTCAGAAGCAATGAGTCCTTGATTAATTCGCCGACACATCGGTTTCCTGTAAAGAATCAATCTCTTCGCCTGTTTTATGATTTCCGCCCTTTCTGCAGCTTTCTTTTCTGTTGCTTCTTTAACAAATCGTTCTCTTTCTTCCTCCGCTTGTTTCTCCTTCGCCAATCTCTCCTCTCTCCTTCTCCTTTTAATATCCTGTTGCAGAAGAAAATAGATAGCCATGGAACTTGATCACGAAGAATAAGATAAAAAATGAAACAACTTCATAAGGATACAAAAACGCACCTCCACAGCGGTTGTAACTGTTCTTACAACACCATCTTCCTTTTTAACTTCGTTTGATTTATTGTGTTCTTCTTCGGAATCCTTCTCTTTAATAACGGAAGTGGCTTCGCAGGCTGGGTGAGGGGCACTTGTCGGTGTTAAGGTTTTTGTAGAACTTTTTGATATCTGGTCGGAGCAGGAAATTTCATTTAGGAAAATCGAAAGAGAGGAGTGGTTACTGAAGAAGTTAGAAACTGTTATTTTGAAGAGAAATAGAGACTTTGTGACTCGTGCTATTTTCTGATAATTTTGTATTTAATATTGTTAAATGGGTGTTAAAAAGTTTTTGTGCAAATTTATATCAAATGCGAAAATTGTTAGTTGCTGATAATTTGAAAACTTAATTGAATTAGAAAATGTTATTTTGGAGAATGATAATAATACTTTATGTTCAGTGATATTATTTTAAAATTATTCTTAAATATTTCTAATACATTTGTACTAGTTTATATTGTTAATAATTAATTAATAAATTAAAAATGTTATTGTGGAAAATGATAACAATACTTTATACACAGTGATGTTATTTTAAAATTATTTCTAAACATTTATAACAAATTTGTGCTAGTTTATATTGCCAACAATTAATTAATAAATTAAAATATGTAATAATTAATAAATATGTAATACTAAAATTTAACAGTGCTGTCAAAAATTTTTAAATCATACCAAAACATTTATAACAAATTTGTATTATTTTATATTGTGAAGTAAAATAATTTAAAAAAATTAATTTGTAAAGTCACCCAATTGAGATAAAAAAATAATAATAAATATACTAATTTTAATTAGTATGTTATAAAGACTAACTTGTATAACAATACATTATTTTTAAAACTATTAATTAATAATGTCACTTTACACATAATATTCTACTTTAAAAATAATACCTTGACAATATTAAATATCTTATAAAATATTAAATTAAATATCTTAACAATACTAAAAAAACTTGATATTAAATTTAAAAAAATTAATGTGAGTTATTATACCTATCTAAATAAGCTAATTTTAAAAAATTATTTAAATGAGTTAACCATGTGACAGTGATTGACGTACTCTAACATTTTTCATTGGCTTGTTCGATTTTTGGTGACCCTCACTAGGCACCACTCGTTCAGTAGTTTTACTCTGCACCATAATTGCAATTTAAAAACAATATTATTTAATAACGTAGACTGACGTATATTGCACGATTTCTTCTTTCACTGATGTGATAATAACTGCAGATTACTATATATATACAGCACAATGGTTGCTTGGAAACTGAACTGAAAGCGATCGATACGATAAATTATCTAATTGCTGCAGTTTTTAGGAAGAAAGTAAGGTGAGCGACCCCGTTATAAGACTATGAGAATATGATTGTTTAAAAACAGTTATTTCTTAATAGCAATAATTTTTATTTAAAAAATTTAACTCACTATTTAAATTTAATTAATTTGGTTAACTAGTTTTTATAATTCTTCTGTAGTTAATTATTAAAATTAATAATTTCTTTTATTTATTTACAAACAAAAATAATTTTAGTTGTTACATTATTTATTTATTCATTTATTTATCCAGTGCTTTTTTAGTTTTGATTTTCCTTTCCATTGCTTTTTTCTATTAATTTTAGTAAATTTTAAATTTATACTAAAGAAAAGATTTATATTTTACAAGATATTTTATGAAAATTAGTTCCTTTACTTCTGCTTGAAGTAAAGGATTTTAAATTATCGGATGCAAATGGCGCCACTTAAATGGCGCCAAATTGTAGCGATATATCGATACTTTCTCCATCGATAAACCGTTGCCATTCGTTGGACCACGCATGGAGGCTGCATCGAAGTGCTAAGACTGATATTGCTCGTCATTTTTCAAAGAAATAAAGGTATTTTTCTGTCAATATTTATCATATATACTGCTAAACATATTTAGCTGTATTTTATTACATAATATTGCAGTAAAATATTACAGTAATTATTCTTTAGTTAAAAATTGTGTAACTCAATTAGACTCCCATTAGCTTCCTTCAATCTCGATTAACACAAAAACATAATCTTTCTTGGATATATTTTCTATAATTTTCTTTCAAATTTTTAACTTTTATTAATATTTTAATTGCAAACTACAAATATTTTATTGTTTCAATGAAAAAAATATTTATATAATTACATATAAGATTGTAATAGGATGATTAACAAAAAAATACGTGTAACAGATATTTGTCTGAATATAAGTAAAATATTAAAATTATTTAATAAATTAGTACAAAAAGAATGTTTCTATTACATATATCGATAATATTGCAAGTGACATTTAATGGTATCTAATATTGATAATATCGAAAACTGCAATATCTTCTTAAAAATCACGCGAATAAATCTTCAAAATCTTTATAGCTTAAATTAACTGAAATTTTACAAATAGTGTGTTGGCGATTGAAAAGAATTTTACACTATTTACATATAAAAAATTTATTTTATTTTATACGCAAATTAATATTCAAAATAATAAATTTTCAATTATTTTCAATAACTACATTTTTAAAAAGAAACCTCGCATTAAATAATTTACAATATTTATGATTTTATTTTATTCAACAGGCCTACTCGAGCGATCGTTGATAAAAGTATCGAATCGAGAGCAAAACCGTACTTGAAGAAACACATTAAAAAAAAAGTAATTATTAAATATATATTATTTCTTAAATCGTTACTACATTTTCTATTTTTTCCAGATCGTATTTACAACGCATTTATTTTATTTATTTCTTTTTATAATATAAAAATGCAGGCCGTTACAAGTGTTTCGATAAATCGACACAAGATGGCTGCGTAGCGTGGTCGTGCACCTGTAATGACAGCACGTGCTACAGCTGAGTGGCGGTCTCCTTCTCGGAAAAGTGAGTAAAATACTGTTATAAGTGTGTTTACCGTTTCCCAAAGTGTATTCAGACCTCATCCATTGTTGTATCGATTATGTGCTTCAATCTGTGCTTCGAAAATCCCCGGATTATCAACGTTTCACCGCGAAATGTTCTTCTATTTACTCGATGTTCGCACGTGTACCGCCAACGCTGCAACAGTAAATTGTAGATCGGTAGTAATTAACCTTGCTTGCGTTTATTGATAAGAAGCGCTTATCACGCGCAACATACAAATGTTTTAGTGAGGAAATCGTATACCGACTACGTTTACTGATATTTCTCGTTGAAGTATTGCTTGAAACAGTAGAGTTGTGTTTCAATACTAACCTAACCCTTTAACCGTGTACATATGTCGGAGCATCGTTAAGTAGCACGCCATAATACGTAAAGAAAACTTTGATACGAGAAATAGAGAAGAAAGAAGAATATCTGTGATGCGTTGGTGCTTTATTCTTTTATAATTTTGTGTACCTGTGAATCGTTGATAATCTGTGATGGTATCGAAGTTACGAGTGCGATTGATTGCTTATCGATTGCGATACAAGTGTCAATTTTCTCCGCGCGCGATTGGAAACAAGTTTTATGGTTTTGTTAGGTTTTCTAGATGATATTTAACTAGGGAAATCGTTTTTATATTAATTTTTATGCGTTTGTATTAATTATAAAAATTCAAATTATATTGGATTGTTAAATAATTTAAGTAGGTACTGATTTTTGGAGAATCATTATTAAATTTTATTGTAGAATGTAAAATTGTTTTTGGATTTAAATTGAAATATTTAGATAGATATTTTGGTAATCTAATATAATACATGTATATAATACAATGTACTATTATTTAATTAGAAAAAGAATGTCTTTTAATATTGATTACTGAATAAAAATTTGTTTAGTGTAATATTGCAAGTTTGCAGCTTAGTTCAATATAATTTAAAATTATTTAAAGTAACAATAAATTACTTATGGCAATTTAATATTAAACTAGTGATGAAGTTGCATATTTTCAATAGTATTTAAGATTTCTACTATATGAAAATATTTTATCAGTAATAAAACTAGTTTAAAAATATTTTATTGTACTGTGTGAATAAAAAGAAATCAATACCTTAAAATGATAGCAATTGAATCACACTATTAGTTAGCAAAATTGATATATGTAATCAGCATTTTTTTTATTAAATTTAGAAAAGTATTACTGAATTTTATTTTCATTACTGCATATTATAATAAACTGTAATTTGTACATTTATAAATTATACTTTATAAACTAATTGTAAATAATAATTATAAACTACTTGTAAGCTATACCATTAAACTTTGAATATGAACCTATCAAACTGTTACAGAAATTAAATTAAATTATATTTATTCTTTGTTGACTGTTTATTCTATTACAAAAATTTTATTTTACTACTACTAGACCTAATAAAGAATTTAATTAAGAATAATAATAGGGATTGAAATAGTAAAAAATAAAATACTTTTGGTAATAGTAATAGTAATTGTTAATGCAATTATCATTATATGTATTTTTTGTGTTAAAACATGAATTCTTTTGATATTTAAGGTGAAGGTGATTGTGGGGGAAGGAAGGTGTTGCTCTGATCTGAGGAAATCCTGATTGGGTAAGTCCTTAAATTCTTCAAAACTAACAAGCTTCACAATAACTATACTAACCCAATATATTGAATATTTATTATTTGTTAATTGTCAACAATTGAAATAATCAAAGGTAGGTGAAAATATTTAATTGTATGCTTACACATCAAAATATTTCAATTCACTTTATCTACAGATTCAGTTTTACTAAAGATCAATATTTAAATCATTTAAATTTTAACTGAAGTTTAATATTTCACTTCACTTTAACTAAATATTAGTATTCCAATATGAGTTATTATTTCAATACTATTTTACTGAAGATTCATATTCCATTTAAATTTTAACCAAAGATCATTTCAATTCAATTTTATTTTCAATATTTCAATTCAATTTTATTTTTAATATTTTAATTCAATTTCTCTAAAATTTATATTCAATTTAACTGAAGATTAATATCCCAGCTCAACTGGAATATTTAATTTAACTCAGGATTAATATTTGAGTTAATATCTCAATTTAACTGAATTATATAAATATATATAAATTAATAAAAATATATATATAAGTTAACATGCAAATTGATCCACTTGAAAAACTTAAAAAACATAAACAAGTACAAGGGGGAATATAATAATTTTAGACAAAAATTATCAGTGAAACATATTTATTAAAAATCTAGCATAATTTCCCTACATCTACAGTAAATATCACAGGTACACGTTTCTTTATCACAATATCCTCCGCTCGGCCGTTTACATAAGCTATCAATTACCCTAACTGGCGTATCGTTCACCGAACAATCATAAAATTCGTTGGCCGAGAAGATTCTCATATAACAACGATTTTGGCGGGAGAAAGCGGGTTCCACGTGTCTCCTCCTCCCCTCGAACGTCCCCTCTTTCTCGCGCCAAAATTGACAAAATAAAAACCTCTCGATAAAACTTATCAAATAAACAATAGAAAATTCTAACCGTCGAGTAAATTAAAGCTTCGTGCCGCATCGTGGCATGCGGTCATGTCGTTACATCGAGATCCTACTGATACAACTCTCAATTACCGCGTGTACAATCTAACAGCGATATTATTAAAAAAAGAGAAGGGAAAAGAACTTAACGTATCCTTCACATCGAGTGTCTTGAGCAAAACAATAGTCCATTCTTCACGGAATCAACGAGACACCAGAAATCCTCTGTCACGACGTTCATCTCGAGAGCAGCTCGCTCAGATCACAGACAAAATTGCAACACCGGTAAATGGTTGGTCACACGACGGTCTCGTTCCATCGGTGCCGATCCTCTTCGTTTCTGACCGGTAAATCCGCCGGTCTCGAAGCCCGTTCACCGGGTACGACGGCTTTGCCCGTTCAAGTCCCTAGGCCCACACGTTTACCACGGTCTCCAGATCGGTTCGTTAGGTTTGGCGACCTGCAGAAGGCCCTGGTGGCTCTGCGAGATGCCCTCGATGTCCGTTCTGACCGGAGAAGGTTGGCTCGAAGCCGGAGTCAGAGGCATCGAGTACTCGTCCGAGCTGAGTTCGCTGCCAGAAGACGGCGAGGATTGCGGCGCCGCCACGTGGATCGTCAGAGGTCCAGTTTTGTCCATAGAATTCAATTTGTGGCCCAAATGGGTCATCAACTTGGTGCCCAAAGCCACATCCACGCCCGGGGTGGCTGCCAAACAGCGGCTGACTTCGTTGGCGCAGTGCGTGTAACCGGCCCTGAAGCGGTCCGCGTCGATCACGGGGTTGGCAGAGAGTCGTTGCTGTCTCTGGAGCTTGTGAAGATGACGCACGGTCAGCTCCAGAATATCGGCCTTCTCTAACTTAGCCACGTTCTCGCCGTCGCCGGCCAGGGCCGTCACCATCAGGTCCTTCAGCTCGTCCAGACACCGGTTGATCCGGGCCCGACGCTTGCGTTCCAGCATAGGTTTCATCACCTGGAAATCAAGGTAAGGCACATTGAAAAAAACTGTACAACTCTAGTTAAGAAGCTCTAATTAGACAAGAATCTACGAGACTCTAAGCTTGAATTTGTTTAACAGGTTGGTGAAGACACGTACCTTTCTGTACTGATAAGTCCTGGATATCGGTTGCTCCTGTCCATCGACCATCATCATCTGCTCGTGCATCTGCATGATTAATCCTTAGCGGAGGACGAAATGTCACACAATGATAACTACACTGATCGTCGCACTTGGAATGTCTCTCGCACAGACAACGCAACGTTGGAACTGTTTGTGATTAGCGGTTTCGCAGGATTCGGGGACGCGTTCTGAGTTTCGTGAACGTTCACCGTGATTGTGGTGGCAGTCGGGCGAGGCTATGGCTTATATAGCGAGGGACAGTTCTTCAGGGTGGGGCGAGGGGCTGATGTCAGGGTCCGTGAGTGGGGGACAGGCCTTCCGTGGGAACGGTCCGTAGAGGTTGGTTCCCAAGCAAGCACACCACCTGTAAGCGGCAGCTGCCAGACACGCGCCCACACCAAGCATCGTCACCGTTTCTTCGTCTCCGTTGCACCTACCGTTCCGGGCCCGTGTTTCCTACCTCTTCTGATCCTCTCCGTTTCGCCGTGCCACGGTATGCACGGCTTTAACCTTCTCCTCTCTCTCTCTCCGTCTCGCTCTTCGCCTCCTTTCGGCTTACTACTATTTCACGAACGTGCGATCATACGGAAGGACCACGAACTATCCACCTTCTTCTTTCTCTTCCAGGTAGAAGAGGAGCAAGACCCTCTTCCTCCTTTTTCCATTCTAGCGGACCCAAAGGTGGTTACTCGTGCTACGTCTTCTTATCGCGATCCCGTCTCGTTCGCTCTTAGGTTTCGCTCTCCTTCTCGTGGAGCGTGCTGGGCACAAGTCCGACGTTCTCCCGATCGCAATCCCACTAGTTACACGTTAACTGAATCACGGCTACGTGTGTCTATGGCTACCATGCCACCGAGGAGCCCCACCATACCCAGCTCGGTTTCCTCTCCGCAATTGATCAATCATTTTCTGCCGCGTATATTATAGCCACGCGTGAGATACACCGCCGCGGATATGCGGAGACAAATGTTGCACGATAAAAGTTGACGTTATGAAAAGGATGTGATTAATTATGTATTACGAGCGTGGGCGTGGGCCCTTTTGGGGACGATAATAATACGATAATTAACTATTTTCTGTCTTTTGTCGATCATGTTTTTGAGGGATACTTTCCCGTGATTATTTTCAAAGTACTCATTTTTAACAGATTATGTAAAATAACCGGATGATGTAGATAACGAGTTATGAAATATCCGTTCGTTTAGTCGATATGGTTAATTGAGATTGAGAATAAATAGATACAGTTATGCGAAAGGTTAGGTTTGACGTTGATAGAGGAATAATGAAATTATGTACTACTTTATTTAATATTGTTAATATCTGAAACTTTCAATAGAATTATGATCTTGTATAGTCATGAAGCTATTGATAGTCAAGCTGTTAGTTTGATCATTAAATTTAAAATTTAATTTAAGATCTTGTATAGTGATCAAGGTATTGATAGTCAAGTTATTAGTTTAGTCATTAAATTTAAAATTTAATTTAGAACAATAAGGTGATATTAACCACAAGACCTGACGTTGTTAAAAACATAGTTCTTTTTCAATTCCCTAAATTCTTAAGTATCAAACTTCCAAATTTTGTTGTACATCATAATTTCTCAAATCCCTAAGTTTAATAATTTAAATAATTCCAAATGTGCAAACTACAAATCCCTAAATCCTCTAATTTCAAATTCTAAAATCCTGAAATGCTTAAATTCTCCCACCAAATTTCTCGCCACAATAAATACAGATGTTCCACTTCTAGCTCGCGTGTCAACCTTCTTCTCTCACTATATAACCGTTCCGCGTTTTCAGATGTATATATACACTCGGTGAAGAGAATGGTGTTTCGAGAAGTTCGGTTCGGAGCGGTAATTTGTTATACCGATGAAAGAGCATCGTTATGAGTCATCTAATCCTTTGAACGTTAATTGCTTCGACCAGTCCGGGACCAGTGTCATGTCCGTTTGGAAATGGGTAGTTTTGTGTCTTGTGGAATATTCTGGTCGTTTTGGAGAGCAATAATCAGGTTGTAAAATGGGATTCGTTCAGGGATTATATTGACGCGTCCAGGGATTAGATGTGAGTCTATGGAGAATTATGAATGGGGGATACTTTATTGAGATCTCGATGGGTTGTATAAGATGTAAAATGTAATTTGTTCAGGAATAAATTATACTTGTGACTCGGTGGTGAATGTCGAAGTTTTTCATGATTATTTTTAGTTTTTTTAGGTTGCTATGAGATTGGAAAATGAGCAAAGTTTATTTGTGCGTTTATGTTGGTTCTGAAATTATGAATTATGTCATTTGAAGGGATGGTGTCACGGTGACGTTTTAATTGTTAGTAGTAATTTCAATTATTTAGTGAGGTTGTTGGGATGTTTTAAGAATTTGTTTTTTCTTGGAGTTTTGGACTATATTCAAATTTTTGGATTTTGGAGTTTTAGCATTTTGAGATTTTAGAATTTTAGAGTTTTGGAATATTGAAATTTTGGTGTTTTAGAATTTTGGGATTTTGAAGTTTTAGAGTTTTAGATTTTTAGGATTTTTGTATTTTAAATGTTAGAAGTTTAGAACTAAAAACTTCAGAATCTTAAAATTTTCACACTTTTAATGTTTTAATTTCTTAATATTCAACTTTTCTAAATTTTCAAATATTAATTTTAAAGTTGTTCAAAATTTCACCAATTCTCCAAAACACCCTTGTCATTCTTACCAAAAGCACAATAATAATTTACATAGTACATTACATATTTTATTCAATATATCAATTTGTGTGAAATTATATTTACATTACTAATACTTAACATATGAACATAATTAATATTTAACATATTGTAACATAGTTATACTTAACATAACATAGTTATTATTTAAAATAATATTTAATTTATATAATATAGTATATGTTAAACATTATTGACATATTTATTGACATATGTTAAATGCATACATTATTAACATATAAGTTAAACATTAAGTCACCTTATTACCACAATTTTATCAACCTACAACTTCTATAAAATAATATGTTTACAACTGTTCTTGTACTAAATTCACTAATTTTCATTTTCATAACGTTGCACCGAAAATATAGATTAACACATAGCAAATTTCAATATTTCAAAGCTTCTGAAGAAAATAGACTTCAATATTTACCTCGTTCAACGGATAAAAGTCCGTACAAGATAAAATAAAAATGCGAACGGTTTTTACAATTTTTAAAAATTCGAAATGCGTCAAAATGTCTTGTAAAGCTAGCATTAAATAGTCCAAGCCAAAGGAAAGTTCCTCGAAGAAAAAGTACGATCATTCCGTCCGAAATTACGAAAAATTGCAATATGGAGTTAATCACTAACAGAATCAGTCGGAGTTTTGCCGGCGGAATCACGAGTCCATTAAATTCTTGCTCGAATCTGAAACGGCACCGCAATTACACGTAACAGCCAACCGAAAGTGATTTCCATGCCTCGTTCTCGATTTATGAACGGCACGCATGTACGCAGACATGCGAATATATTCGGACACCAGTATTTTCGTACGTCAATCAAAATAATTTTAAGTAACTTTATGTAAGTCAAGTGTACAGCTATATGGCTGCATGATATAGCTGCACATTATGCGGTGTATTAAGTACCGCGTAATAAACTTTAATATTAGAGGTACGAAACTTTCTATCATATTATGGATCACAGTTTTATTAATATCTCATAATTAGGAGGGCGATTTTGATCGAGGCGTTTTGTAATTAGGTTTTAATCGATATATTTTAAGTAGGGTGATTTTGGGGGAAGGAGTTTGTAAGGAGGATGAGTTCGATGGAAGTGTTTCATAAAGAGGAGAATGAGTTTGAAGGAAGTGTTTTATAAGTAGGAGGATGAGTTCTGTAATTCTCTAAATACTGAATTCTAAAATTCTCACATTTCCAAATTCTCAAATCTCTAAAATGACAAATTCCCAAATTGTCAAATTGCCAAATCCTGAATTCTTCAAGTCCCAAATCTTCAAAATCACAAAACCTTCAATTCTCCATTTCCCAAATCTCCAAAACCCCAACCCCCTGATTTCCAAACTTCAAACTTCCCAAAATTCCCTTTCTAACTTCATCAAACACACCAACATCCATCTCAGTATTGGACCTCATACAAAATAACCTAACCTAACCTAACCCAAACATGTCTTTTACCGCTAATACCTCTGTTGCCATCACACCACTCTACAAGTGAATCCTCCAAGAAAGTCTAACGTAAATGAAACCCCATAGAAGGCAGTTTACCTGCCTCCAAACCGATTAAGAATTTTCACTGGAGGCGAATCAATGGTTGTCGAAAATGGTTGGAAAGTAGCCCGGAGGATGAATATATCCGTGAGTCCGAGGTTTAATTTCGCGACGCTCGTAAAATCGTTCCTCTCTTTGGATAGTCATCGTTTCGAATGAATATCTCCGGTATGCTTTACGTGTACATCCTGTCCGTAGCTGGAAGCACATCCAGATACTAATTTCGTCGAAGCTTTTGCTGAATTATATCCTTCCCGTCTACCTCTTTCCAATCTTTCTCTATCCTTCTCCGCGTACACACCTTCTTCTCTCTTTTTTTTATAACCTCCGTTCGCTTCTTCCTGCCAACTACCTCGCTTATTTCTTCGCGAGTGGGGCACTTAAACATCGTTCGCACCGAATAATTACGCGCGTCAGCTTCATCCTTCTTCTTTACCCTGTCTTAGCTCCACGGCTCGGGTACACTCGGCTAAAACCTATCCGACCTTTCGATATTGATACCTATGCAAATTTTTGGATTCTTTCGGAACTCACTGTTTCAATTTTCGAATTTTTAGGTGTTTAGTTTCTTTTTTTTTTTTTAGTTGTTAGATTTTTTGAGATTTTGAATTTTTCGAGTCTGCGGAATTTTGAGATTTTTCAAGTTTTGAGATCTCAGTTTTTGAGTTTCTGAGATTTTGAGTCTTTGGCTTTTTGAATTTTTGAACTTTTGAGTTTTCAAATTTTTCAAATTCTCAAAATTTCCACATTTCTCAAATTTGAAAATCCACAAATGCCTAGATTTTAAACTGCTCAAATTCCTAATAATCGAATTTTCAAATCCCTAGAATCAAAACCTTAATTTTTTAATTTTCAAATTTGAAACATACTTAAATTTAATGGTTTTAAATCATCAGATTCTAAAAATTAAAAATTTCTAATTTTTTAGTGTATTGTCCAAATTTCTCAGTTATTAAATTTCCAAATTTCAAATTCCCAATTACTAAAATCTCAAAATCCCTAGATCC